TCTGTAAGCAAACACACTTAAAAGCCCTTTAATACAGCACACCATTTCAGTTTTATTTAATTTCAAATATAGTTACCTGAAGGTGCTTTATATTATAAGGTAAATGCCCGACAATATAAGAGAGAAATCCCAACAATCAGGCAATCAACCCCTGACAAGCAGGAACTTTGTGACAGTAGGAAAGAAAACCTCATTTTTAACCGAAAGAAACCTCTATAGCTGAACCAGACTCAGGGAGGGAGGAAGGACAAAAGACACTATGGATGAGAGACAGTGATTAATGATTAAATACAGAGTGTTGTATAAACACAGAGTGAGAAGAGGTGAGTAAAGAATAAACAATCAATGCATCATGGGAAAACCCCGGCAGCCTAGATGTAACAGAGGGTGTATTCAGGGTCACCTGGTCCAGCCCTAACTATATGCTGTACCTAAAAGGAAAGTTTGAAGCCTAATCTTAAAAGTAGAGATAGTGTCTGTCCCCTGAATCCAAACTGGAAGCTGATTCCACAGAAGAGGGGCCTGAAAACTGAAGGCTACTTTTAAATGCGCCAGGAACGACAAGTAGTAGCAGCCTCAGAGTGACGTGCTCCTTTGGGGTGATTTGTTACTATGAGATCTTCAAGATAAGCCAAGTGTAAGCTCCACAATGCAAGAAGACAGTGTAATTTAAGTTTTGTACAATTTTCATAATTACTTTCTAGTTCTTGCTTAAAAAAGGTTGGACATAAAGAGTAAAGTGTTTGCGTATTTGAGTGATGTGTGTGCAGCCGAGTAAGACAGCCTTAGATCTGCTTTTAAGTGTTTTTAGTTACTGTGCCAGCAGCACATCTGAGGTTAGTTTAGAAAAATTAAAATGGCAAAGTTAGCAACAGCAAGAACAACAGTTCAGCGCATGTCAGCAGAGAAAAAAGGGCCCATGCTGTCGTCTGTGCCGGGCTTTCAAAATAAAAGTTAAACTGGACCAGAAAACTTCCTGTTTTAGATGCTCCATCGGTGAAGTTCTGCTCGAATCAATGACTGAACAATCAGACTGGTGACAAGCCACAGAACACCTTGTCATTTATATTGTAAGGTAAAGATCCTAAAGTAATACAATTATTCCATTCACATTCCACATCATTACACCGTGTATTTGCTTAAACATCATTGCCACTCATTTACAATTTGAGAGAAACCAAATGTGTCTAATAATAAATTAAATGTTGCACTGACTTTGCTTTTTTAGGCTTTTGCATTAAAGTTAAAAGCACCACTATAATTATTTTTATCTGACCTGAACACTAACTTAACATTTAAAAAGTCTGAGAAATCAAATAAGAACTCAAACAAAAAAATGTTCCCCCAGCTTGACTGACTACATCTTTTAAAGAAATTATAAATTATGTCTCTGGTTGACTATTAAGCTTCAGGGAAAAGTTGTTATTGGCAGTTCTCTGTCTGTGCTTCAAGTATTCTTACAGTCAGCATAAGTAGGCGGGGATAACTTATAGCAAGATTAGATATATGTGCATATATTAATGTCATATATCACATATATCTTCCAGCTGTAAAGATGATCCAGCGTTTCTTAAAGCCTTCTGTGAATGACGCTAAATTAAACAGTCATAGTTCATAGCAGTAACTCATGATTCAGCTGTGGGTTGTTTATAAAATTTCCAACTATATCAGCAGGTTATGGCTTGGACTGGAAAAGACACAGTTTTTCCTTACTCAGAAAATTTGAGTAGCTCATATTATGACTGCTATACAGATACTTCAATGTGACATTAGTCAGCTGAGAAACCTTCAGAAACAAATTTGACCCTGTGACGAAAGCCTGTGTAAATTACTACCTTTGTTTTATACAGTTGCATCTGTGCACTAGATAGTATGTTAATTTAATCTACATGTGATTTAATGATAAGAATAAGTTTAAGAGTATTGTAGCAGGAATCATAGCAGAGAATAATTTGATTGTGTAGTACTACAGATCCTTATGGCTGCCAGGAGACTTCTAAAAGGCCAGCTCCTATATTTAATCACTTAAGTGGATTAAACCTGATGAGAAAGACAGCAAGTGTCCAACGTTAAACGGTGTACTTCAAAAATATATATTTTAAATTAAAGTTAATTAAAAAACAACTAGTCATTTGGGAAGAAGAGGAGGCCTCACCAGCTGCTGTTTATCTGGGGCCTTGAAGGGGAGAGGGTGAGCCGCTTTAGATA